TATTTTTAATGTTTTAAATTTCTGACTACTTTTTAAACTTTTTTTGTTAAAAACTAAGACACACATTAGCCTAGGCGCACACAGGGTCAGGATCATCAATATCACCGTCTTCCACCTCCACATCTTGTCCCACTGGAAGGTCTTCAGTGACAATAACAAACACTGAGCTGTCATCTCCTATGACAACAATGCCGTCTGGAATACCTCCTGAAGGCTCTTCTTGAGGAGATGTCACTCTTTTAGGAAATATGTCCATAGTGGTTTGTTTCTTTTTTTCATCCAATATTTGCTTGTAAGCAGATAACGCACCATCAACATTCCTCTCTATTAATGAAAACTTTTTAGTGCTGGAGTCCATGTATTCAGACTTTTTAAGGAGCTGGTTGAGGTCTGCAAAAGCTTCTGATAAACCCTTCACTGTGAATTTTCTTGGGGGTTCTTCTTTTTCTTCTCCTGCAGTTTCCTTTTCTCTTGGTACAACATTATGATGGCTACCATGTCACCATGTGATAGGAATTTTTCAGGTCCATTATAATCTTGGGGGAGCACCACCATATATGCCATCTATTGTTGACCGAAACCTCGTTGTGCCGTGCATTATGTACTGAAACTTCCTGGGATCGCTACTTGTGATCTAAGCTAACCTTCCTATAGCTGATACAGCATGGGCTGTGGCCCTCCAGGAACCCCCAAGGGAAAGAGCCCTGTGAGCAGAGAGTCTCTGCTTGGAGTGACAGGGATGAGAAATGGCTGGGTGTCGTGTGTCTGGAATCAGACTGCCCCGATTCAAACCTGGCTTCATCCCTTTCTAACTCATAACGAGTACAAATTACATTCAAGATGCTGTGCTCCTTTCCTCTTCTGTAAAATAATAATAATGTGTGCACTTATACCTTGAGGGACATTATACAGATGAAATGGGACCAGCTACATAGAACACACAGCTCAGAACATGGCACTTAGGAAGCCCTCAATAAAGGTTTTAGATGTTATGGTTACTGTCCTCTTCCTCCTCATTCCAACATCACCTTCATGATCCTTTTTGAGTGCCTAAGGGACAGATTAGAGTGACCCATTTTCTGCTGTCATGTGAGAGATGCCTATGAGAGAGAGAATCAGTGAGAGAGGAAAATAGTACTCTGAATGAGTTTTTAGGCCCCCACCAGAAGCAAGAACACAAGCTTCATAGGGCTCAGAGCTGAAACTTTGCATATTGCTGCCCTATCATCTATCTGTACCAATGGTTCTGTATGTGCTGATGATGGGGAAATAATGCTCCTGACAATCCCTCCTCCATTCACTGCCCCTGTCAGCACTTACTTGTCTGCACTGTGTCTCTGCTGGGGCATGACCAAAGAGTGCAGATCCACCGTTCCTCCCCTGTTTGATGTGCGATGAAAGTTCAGGTTCTGTCCTCAGAACTGGCAGAAAGACAGAGTCAGACATGAGCCTCTGGATGCAGATGACCATGAAAGGAGGAGACATATGTATGGAGCCCACTGGACCAGAACCTTCAAACTGAAGGGCTAGAGGTACGGGCTGATTATTTTCAATTGTATGGCCTTGAGGGCTCAATGCACAGAGCTCATAATTAGCCAAATTGGTCCATGTTATCTCAATCTCTAAGGATTTCCTAATGTAAGGGAAGAGAAAGAGGAAAAAAATGAATGTCCATGGAAGAGTCTGGGGGTTTCCTCTTCTCATGAGGAAGCTTACCTGTATGTCTTACTTCTTTTTCTTTGTTTAAGATACATCTGGATTTTTTATTCCATTATTTTATTGTGGTAAAATATGCATAACAGCAATTTGCCACTTTAACCATTTTTAATTGTACAGTTCTGTGGCATTAAGTATATTCAAATTGTTGTGCAACCATAACCACCATCCATATCCAGAACATTTTCATCTTCTTAAAGTAAAACTCTGTCCCCATTAAATACTAATTCCCCATTTCCCCACCATCACCCCCAGCCCCTGGCAGCCACCATTCTATTTTCTGTCTCTATGAATCTGACTACCCTAGGGACTTCATATAAGTGGAATCAAATAGCATTTGTCCCTTTGTGTCTGGTCTGGCTTATTTCACTGAGAACAATAACTTCAAGGTTCATTCACGTTGTAGCTTGTGCCAAGTGCCTTTCCTTTTTAAGGCTGTAAATACTCCATTTTATGTATATAACACATTTTGCTTATCCATTCATCTATCAACAGACACTTGGGTTGCTTCCACCTTTGGGCTGCTGCAAATAATGCTGCTATGATCATCAATGTATAAATATCCGTTTGAACCTTTAGTTTCAATTCTTTTGGGTATATGCCCAGAAGTGGAACACTGGATAGTATGGTCACTCTATTTTTAATTTTTTTGAGGAACCGTCATGTTGTTTTGCATAGTGGCTGCATTATTTTACATTTACCAGCAGTGCACAGGGTTCTTCTATCTCCACATCCTCACCAACACTTGCTGTTTCCTGTTTTTTTGATAACAGCCATCCTAACAGGTGTGATGTGGTATCTCATTGTGGTTTTCATTTGCATTTCCCTAATGACTAGTGATGTTGAACATCTTTTCTTGTGCTTACTGGCCACTTGTATATCTTCTTCAGAGAAATGTCTATTCAAATTCTTGGCCCATTTTGAATGGGGTTGTTTGATTTTTCATAGTTGAGTTGTAGGAGTTTTTTGTATATTCCTGATGGTAACCCCTTATCAATATATAATTTGCAAATATTTCCCTCCAGGGCATGGAGTGGCTTTTCACTCTGTGGATAGTGTACTCTGATGAACAAAAGTTTTTAGAAATGATGTAGTACAATTTATCTAATGCTTTTCGTTATTCAGTAGGTTATTTTATTATTTTTTAGCTTTATTGAGATATAATTGACATTTAACATTAAGTTTATGGTGTGCAAGGTGATGATTTGATGCACTTATATATTGCAAAACGTTTGCTACAATAAGATTAGTTAACACATCCTTCACCTCACATAATTACCATTTAGTTGTTGTTGTTATCGTGAGATCATTAAAATTCTACTCTCATAGCAACTTTCAAGTATGCAATAAAGTATTGTTAACTATAGTCACAATGCTGTACAATAGATCCCTGGTTTTTATTCATCTTGTAACTGAAAGTTGTACAATTTGACCAACATTTCCTCATTTCTCTCACCCCTTAGCCCCTGGCAATACCATTCAACTCGAGTTAATTTTTGTGAGTGGTATAAGATAGGGGTCCAATTTTATTCTTTTGCATGTGGTTATCCAGTTTTCCTAATACCATTTATTAAAGAGACTATCCTTCTCCCACTAAGTATTCTTGGCTCCCTTGTCAAATATTAGTTGGCCATAAATGTGTGGGTTTATTTCTGGGCTCTCAGTTCTATTCCATTGGTCTATGTGTCTGTTCTTATGCCAGTACCACAGTGTTTTGATTACTGTAGCTTTGTAATATAGTTTGAAATCAGGAAGTGAATGCCTCCAGCTTTGTTATTTCTCAAGATGCTTTGGCTATTCGGGTCTTTTATGATTCCACACAGATTTTAGGATTGTTTTTTTCTGTTTCTGTGAAAAATGCCACCAGAATCTTGATAGGGATTACATTGACTCTATAGACGGCTTGGGTAGTATGGAAATTGAACAATATAAACTCTTCTGATCCATGAACATGGAATATCTATCCATTTATTTCTTCTTCAATTTCTTTCCCCCATGTCTTACAGTTTTTGGTGTAGAGACTTTTCACTTCCTTGGTGAAATTACTCCTAAGATTTTATTGTTTTTGATGCTATTGTCAATGGGATTGCTTCCTTTATTTCTTTTTTTAGATAGTTTATTGTTAGTGTATAGAAATGCAACTTGTTTTTGTGTGTTGATTTTGTATCCTTAAACTTTACTAAATTTTTTTATTAGTTCCAACAGTTTTTGGTGGGGTCTTTAGGACTTTCTGTATACAAGATCATGTCAACGGCAAACAGAGACAAATTCACTTCTTCCCTTCCAATTAGGATATTTTTTTTTCTTTTCCTCGCTTGATTGCTCTGGCTAGGACTTCTGCTTCTGGTACTATATTTTATAAGAGTGGTGAGAGTGGGCACCTTTGTCTTGTTCCTTATCGTAGAGGGAAAGCTTTCAACCTTTCATCGTTGAGTACGATGTTAGCTGTGGGCCTCACATATATGGCCATTATTATGTTGAAGTATGTTCCTTCTATACCCAATTTGTTGAGTTTTAATCAAGAAAGGATGTTGAATTTTGTTAAATGATCTTTCTGCATCTATTAAGATGATCATATGATTTTTGTCATTCATTCTATTAAGTGGTATATCACATTTATGGTTTGCATATGTTGAACCATCCTTACATCCCAGGGGTAAATCCCACTTGATTGCGATGTATGACACTTTTAATATGTTGTTGAATTCAGTTTGTTAGTACTTTGTTGAGAACTTTTAAATCTATATTCATCAGGCATATAGGCCTATAATTTTCTTTGCTTGTAATATCTTTATCTGGCTTTGGTATCAGGGTAATGCTGGCCTCATAAAATGAATTTGGGAGTGTTCGCCTCTCTCCAGTTTTTGGGAAGAACTTGAAAGGAATTAACACCAATTTTTTCTTTAAATGTTTGGTAGGATACACTTGTGAAGCCATCTGGTCTTAGGTTTTTCTTTGTTGGAAGGTATTTGATTACCGATTAAATCTATTACTTTTTATTGGTCTGTTCACATTTTCTATTTCTTCATGATTTAGACTTTATAGGTTGTATGTTTCTATGTCATCCATTTTTTTGGTGTATAATTGTTCAGTCTCTTATGATCCATTTTATTTCTGTGGCATCAGCTGTAATGCCTTCTCTTTCATTTATGATTTTATTAAAATGAGCCATTTCTCTTTTTTTCTTAGTTATTCTAGCTAAATTTTTGTCAACTTTGTTTATCTTTTCAAAAAACCAGCTGCCTTTTCCAGTCTTGTGACCAAAAATAGCACAAGTATTGACATTAGGAGCTTCTGCTGACAATCCTCCATAAGACACTCTTGATGTCCCTGTTCTTCAGGCTGTAGATGAAGGGGTTCAGCATAGGGGTGACCACAGTATACATCACAGAGGCCACTGCACTCTTCCTAGAGGAAGATGAGACAGTGGAATTGAGGTACACTCCAAGGCCTGTTCCATAAAATAAGCAAACAACTGACAGATGAGAGCCGCAGGTGGAGAAGGCTTTGTACTTCCCACCTGATGATGAGATTCTCAGAATGGTGGAAACAATTTTATAGTAAGAGAAAATAATTCCTGAGATAGGGAGAAAACCAGAGATGGTCCCAACAAAAAATATGACTATGTTATTGGTGGAGGTGTCAGAACAGGCAAGGTTGAAAAGCTGAGGAACGTCACAAAAGAAATGAGGGATTTCCACATCTGTGCAGAAGATAAGTTGTGATACCATCAAGCAATGAATCTGAGAGTCCAAAAGGCTGATGAAAAATGATACCAGGACCAATATGCCACAGAGACGTGACTTCATGATGACTGTGTAGTGTAGGGGGTGACAGATAGCCACCAACCGGTCATAGGCCATCACAGCCAAGAGGAGACTGTCCAAACATCCAAAAAGGAAAAAAAAGGATACCTGAGTTAGGCAGCCTGCATAGGTGATGGATTTGCTGTGAGCCTGGAGGTTCACCAGCATCTTGGGGACTGTAGTGGTGATGAAACCAATGTCAGCCAAGGACAGATTGGAGAGGAAGAAGTACATGGGGATGCGGAGGTGAGAGTCAGAGCTGATGGCCAGAATGATGAGCAGATTCCCAAGCACAGTGACCAGGTACATGGATAGGAAGAGCCCAAAGAGAAGGGCTTGCAATTCTGGATCCTCTGAGAGACCCAGGAGGAGGAATTCTGAGATACCTGTTAGATTCTGGAGTTCCATATAACTGAGACACTTTTTGAAAAAGAAAAGCAGGTTGGAATATACAAAACAAGTATACAGGCAGCCAGCTAAGTATCTATATTTTGGATTCAAGCAATTCAAACTAAAGTAGTAACACTTGAGGAACATACACCTTGGCAATATTTTTCAGTTGTGGTAAATTCATTCTTCTTAGAACTCTTTCTTCATTGATGTCTGAGCTATTCATCTGTTTCTATATACATACACTTTAGAGACTCTGGGCCAAAGAATATTAGAGTAACAAGGGCATCCGGAGACAAAAAGTCCAGGAATGCAGTAAAATATCAGCCTCCTTCTTTTGAGGGAAACATGTAGAATCATAAATATCTTTCTCCTTTGAAGAGAAAAGTAGTCATTCTATAAAGGACACTAAGAAGCAGTCATATGTTCTTCTTATTATCCAAATTCACTACAACAAATTTCCTTAATATGTAATGAGGATAAACATCCTAGAAGAGCTAAAACCACATATTCATAATATTCATAATCAAATAGAATTTTTTTATGACAACTATTTCATGGGTTTTCATAATTTTTTGGTTTTATAACATTTATCTCCCTTGGAGATAAATGCTCACTCAAATATGTGGGTCATCTGGTAAAAGTCTTATAAAACATAACTCACATACACAAATAATTAGCCTTGGTGAACTTCACATTTTGATAAATATGTTTTTGTTAAATGCACAGAATCATTCAACACTGCTGATTCTGAAGACGGTATTAATTTATAATGCACCAATGATTAAACAATAATTACCTTTTAATGAACACTCTGTACCTACTTTTCATTTTTTGTGGGGTTATTTTCTATCAGTGTTACACAATCTCAGGGAAACATCTGAGATTGAGTTCTTATTTTGCTTTTCTAATTTAAAACTGCTTAAATATGTCGCTAATCCTAAACATTTGTGAAGGGTTATTTTCTTATCAAATCCAATCCTTTATGTACAGTTGAGGAATTTAAGACCACGGATGTTCCAAAGCCGGGTCTGAAACCTTAAGTTGGCTTCTTATGCCAGTTTGCAGACTATGCCACCCCCAAAAGACGCCACTTTGGCAAGAAGATTATTTTGAGCTGAGGGCACTTTAGAAGAAATGGATACAAAAAAATCTCTCTGCTCTCCTCCTATTTGCCCAAAAGCAGGACATAAATATGTAAAGCTGGCTCCCTTCACTTCCCTAAAATGTAGGTCAGAAGGATTCTTAATCACCAGAGACAATTCTAGACCTTTATCAGCCCAGAGATGGCACCAGAGGTGTCTACATAAGACATTTTGCTAAAACTAGCCCTTATCTATTGTTAGTCTCCCTGTATATTTGCCTTCCCATAATTTTTCACCCATGGAAGCTTGAAATCCTTTTCCTTTGTCTTGCCACTTCTCTAAAAATGTTTTGTTCTTTTGTCAATATGTTCTATAAGCCTAGGTTCTAACTACCCCTTGAGTTACACATCTCTGAGCACTCTCCTGTGTATGCGTGATGCACCTGTTAACAAAGTTCTGTTTATTTTTTCTCGTCAATCTATCTTTTGTCTGTGTAATTTACAGAGCCTCAGCAGGAGAAGCTAAGATGAATAGAGGAAAAAGATGAGTTTTTTCCCTCTACAATACCTTACAGAGTTGCTATAAGAAATTAAATTAAGCAATCAAAATAAAGTGCTTCAAAAGTGGTTCTAATGATAGTTGGTAATTATAATTACCTGTTGATCTTTAAAGTTTTATTGATGTGCTGGCCACAGCCTAGAACCAATTAAATCAGAATCACTACATGTAAGTACTTTGATCATTTAACACACAGTCAGGCTAGAGAACCATTGCCCCAGACTGTCTCCAAGCACTTAGTAAACACTCTATGAATGTTATCTATTATTATTACTATTATCCCCCACTACTCATATTAAAAACACTAATATTTGATCATACTTGCTTCAGAAATCCTATTTATCAATAATAAGACCTGAGTCTTCTTTTTATCCCTGCATGATCCCATTCTCTTACACTTCAGTTTCCCAAAGGCAAACACTGCCATGAATTTGGCAGTATTTTCCATTCGACAGTCCCATAATATCAGTGTTGATTTACGTACCCATGGTTTTCTTGAAAACTTACCTAAATACTATTATACCAAACACATTGTTGCCTGAGAAGTTACCATTTACTACAATATTGTGTTTTCGGTCTCTATGAAGTACACACATCTATTTCACACACTTTAAATGATGCATAATATTAGCTGAGGAATGAACTTCATCTTATTTTTCAATTTCTTACTACAACATTCCTAAGAAAATGTTTGTGCCTCTCTCCATATCATGAGTAAGAATTTCTTTAGGATATATTCAAGAAAGATAGTTGTTTGAATTGTAAAAATTGATACATTTTAAATTTTTCTATTAATTTCTTACATTTGTTTTCTCAACAGAAATCAGAAATCATCAAATACATACCTTATGTGAAGGTATAGACTAGAAGTACTCCTGAAGTCTATCTAACTATGACAGAGCCATGTGAAAATTCCCATATTGTATAGCGAATAATATCTCCATAGCTCAGATTTCCAAAATGGTCTACAAAATGCATGGCTATTCATAGAAAACCTGGTGATGCACAATAGTTATGTGAGAAAGGCTCCTGTTGGAGCGACTTGGTTGCTTCTCCTAATTCACAAATGAACTCACCAAATCCCAAGAGAAGGAATTGGTGGTTCTGCATCCGTTTGCTTATCTGTGACTAAAGCAGATTTGAAAAGAAAACAATTACTCACTCTTGCGGAGAGGACAGATCCCTGGGATGGCAGTTAGGAGACCTTTGTCTGAGTCCCATATCTCACATACTAAATATGGAGTGTGTGTCAATCTCTCCGCTTCTCTGGGCTAGCATCCCTCACCCAGAAATAGGGAAAATAACACCCATCTCTAGGACATGTTAGGACCTAAAAGAGGTTTGCCCTTCATAAATATCCAATCATCGTTTTTAAATCAGGATTTGAATCATTATTGCAACAGTGGGTTTGTTAATGAAACACAGTCCCAAAAAAGTTTTAATGATCTTTTATTCTATTACATGGCAGAGAAATAGAAGCCTATCATGTCCTAGGGAATTTGTTCACAGAACAAATTCCTAAGAGATGTCTCAGTCCACACAACAAGATTTACTATCCTTTCTCTTTCTCTCTCTCTTTTTCTCTGTTTACATTTTTAAGAAAATATCCACATTATTTATAACTGAATATTGTGGATTCTATTAAATGGAAAACAATGGGTCCCTTAGAAAATTTGTGACATAGATACAAACATTGTATTATCTTTTGTCTAGTCCTACGTAACATCACTGGAAGGAATGAAAGTACAGGCGGGAAAGAAAATAAGAGGGGAAAAAACAGGCTTCCGACCAGTGGGAGGAAGCCATATTGATGATGCTGTGTTCCTGAGAAGTAAGGAAAGGTCTTTTCAAAACATAACAGATATTGTCACTGTTGTTGTATCCTATTCTGTGCCAAATAATGATAGGCTCTGAGAAATCATAAATGAATGAGACGAAGTTGTTTCCCTTCAGGCATTCAGAATCTACATGTATAAGGATGAAAATAAAATGTTCTCTCAGGATCTAGAGAAAACCAAACCGGCAGATCACAGGATAATTTAGTTGGGTCTCTGGTGCCTAGCCTTGATACTAATTAAAATGCCTAAAATTTACGTTGGCTTTATTATATGCATCCATCACATATGTAGTCACATGTTCAGTACCAATTTTGTTTAATTCTCACTCAACACACTTGCATCAAGTGGAAATCAACTCAGATGACAAGGTTGAGGCTCAGATATACTAAAAACTTGCCCACTGTCACACAGTTAATATAGAACAGGTAATATTCAAAATTAAATGGTGGGCCTCTGAGGACCATGTACTGAGATTGTTTATTGTTTAACAGAGGGTTTAAGCAGATATCCATAGGTCTATTTCAAACTTCCCAAGGTATAACTTTAACTGTTTCCTGACTAAGAATGGGACCCGACACTCTGAGTCTGTCTCCCTTAGATCAAGAGGGGATAAATTACAGGAATGAAGAAGGAAGGGGAACAGTTGAAGCAAAATCTGGGAGCAGTGATAAGAAAGAGATCTTCCCTGAATTATCATGTGCCAACATTTTCTGTGATTCCTGCCTGTAGTCTCAGCCATACTTACTATAGCTGATGCAGCAAAGGCAACCCACTGCTTTCCACTGTGGTCTACCGGAAACCCTCAGAGAAGAGCACAGTGCGTGTGGATCTCTGCCTGGAATGAAGGGAAGAAAAATGCCAGGTTGGGTTGGCAGGAGAGAATATTGTCGAGGTGCCCTGTGAATGGAGTCTCGCTGTCTGGATTGGAACTTGGTCCTTTTGACTCTAGGACCTGGTAAAAATTGCAGAAAATACTGTGCTCCTATCCTCAACTGTAAAATGATGATAATGCATGTTTCCCCCTTTTTGGGTTAGTAATGCAGATAAAAGGTAACAAGCTACATAAAAAAACTTAGCTCACGGTTAAGTGTGCGTGCTCCGCTGATGGCGGCCCAGGTTCGGATCCCGGGCACACACCGACACACTGCTTGTCAGGCCATGCTGTGGCGACGTCCCACATAAAGTGGAGGAAGATCGGCATGGATGTTAGGTCAGGGCCAGCCTTCCTCAGCAAAAATATGACGATTGGATGTTAGCTCAGGGCCAGTCTTCCTTAGCAAAAAGAGGAGGATTGGTATGGATGTTAGCTCAGGGCTGATCTTCCTCACACACACAAAAATAAAAAACTTAGCTCAGATCCTGGCACTTAGAATCCCTAAGTAAAGGTTTGTAATACTGTGGTACTGCTGATATTTTCTTCAATATCATCACCATCACCCTCCTGATCCTTTTTTGGTTCTTAGGGAACAGTTTACAGGGACTTATTCCTGCTGCCATGGGGGAGATACCTACAATGACAGAACCAGTGTGGGAGAAAAGCAGAATTTTGAATGAGAGTTTTGGGATCCCCATCAGAACCAAGAACATAAACTACATGGGGCTCTAAGCTGAAACTTTGCATATTGGTGCCTTACCATATGTTTGTCCCAATGCTCCTGTTTGTCCTAATAATGAAAAAACAATGCTCCTGACAGTCTCTTCTCCATCAACCATTGCCATGGTACTCACTGGGCTGTTCTGTGTCTCTGCTGGAGTATGACCAAGGAATGAGAGTCCACTGTCCGTCTCCTGCTGGGCAAGCAATGAAGGTTCAGGCTCTTTCCTCAGGACTGGCAAGAAGACAGAGTTAGTCGTGGGCCTCTTGAGGCAGATGGTGATTCTGGGAGAAGACACAGATGTGAACCCTGCTGAAGTGGGACCAGGATCCTAAAGGGCTAGAGGCACAGGCTGATTATTTACTCTTGTATGGCCTTGAGAGCTCAATGCACAGAGCTCATAATTAGTGAAGTTGGTCCATGTTATTCCAATCTCTGAGGACTTGCTATTATTAATGGAAGGCGAAAAGGGAAAAGTGATTGTATTTTGAAAAGTCTGGGCCCTCCCTCTTTTCAGAAGGAAGATCATCCGTACTCCTCACTTCGAACTTCCAAGTTGCAGGGATTTTGTAAATTCAGATGATTTTTGTTCAATTAAAAAAAAAACAGTGTGTCACTTGTATGTCTGCAAATTCATTGAATTAATCATGCTGTGCAGGGAGAATTATGTCTTCAATAAGAAGACTCTAATGCAATTTTTATTTTTTCAATTAAAAGTTATGTCTTTAAGGACAACTTCCTACTTTTCTTTCTTTTTCCCTGCTTTGTGATTTTGGATGTTACGTTTAGAGATGTACGTTTTTTGCTATTTTGAATGACAACCAAAGTTTTAATTTTTCTGTAGAATTTGTGTATGTTGGTACATTAAATAACTATCTATTTTGACTTACTTACTAAATTGACAGTTTCCTGAAATACTACAGGGAGTTTCACAGATGTCTACAGTCTAAATGTAGGGCTGCAGTCATCTCAAGGCTTGACTAGAAGAGGATCTGATTCTAAGCTCATTCATGTGGCAATGGCAAGATTCAGTTCCTTGCGTGCTGTTGGCCATTGACATCTCTCAGTTTCTTTTTTTTGTGAGGAAGATCAGCCTTGAGCTAACATCCATGCCAATCCTCCTCTTTTTGCTGAGGAAGACCAGCCCTGAGCTAACATCTATTTCCAATATTCCTCCCTTTTTTCCCCAAAGCCCCAGCAGATAGTTGTACATCATAGTTGCACACCCTTCTAGTTGCTGTATGTGGGACGCCACCTCGGCATGGCCAGACAAGTGGTGCGTTGGTGCCTGCCTGGGATCCGAACCCAGGCCCCCAGTAGCGGAGCGCACGCACTTAACTGCTAAGCCCTGGGTCCAGCCCCTCTCAGTTTCTTGCTATATGGGCTTCTCCACTGGGCAGCTGACAACACACCAGCTACCTTCATCAGCATGAGCTGGTGAGAGAGCAGAAGAGGCCTGGCAAGTTGAAAGCCTGAGTCTATTTGCACTTTAATGTTGGAGTGATGGTCCAATATTTTTTGATCGTTTATTCATTGCATGCATGTTGCAGGGTCCAGCCCAGTTGGGGATGGGTAAATACAAGGGCATGAATACAGGAGGCAGGGGATATTGAGAGGGTTTTAGAAGCTGCTTACCACAAAAGCATTTAACCCTTTATGAGGATTTTGGGCTGTACGCGCAACAAGATTCTAGAGATGTCTCTCTGCTTTCCAGCAGAGTCCCCAACTCTTCACATCACTATCTTCTCAACAAAACTCTACTGGAGAAGAACTAGCACATAGAAGATCTTGCGTGGTTTTAGGTATTTCGGCAGGCCCCACCGTGCTGCTCCTGACCACATCATAAGAAGAAGTCTCCCTGGTTTCTCTTATAGCAACAGAGTTCTTCCATCTTTGCCAAGAGAAGCCATAGCCATTTCAGGATAGATTTAACAAGCACCTCTAGAAGCTTCCGATTTCTGCTCAACTAGTAAGGGCTCATATTCAAATATATTTTCTTTGGAATCTTTGTATTTGAACTCTTGAAGTCTTTTTAGAATGTGATTTTTGTCTTATATAATGAGATAAAGTGGGATGTATGGGAATTATGATTTGTGGCAACCTCCACATCTTATCTTTGCAGTCCTCCTGGCTCAGATTTCTCTGAATGAGGAACTCGGAGACTGATTTCTCATTAACTGATAGGAAGAAAATTTGAACATTTACCCAATTAAATTAGATATGGGAGAAAGTATGCTAATTATGTGTGTGTGCATCAATGGCAGGGGAAAATTTTAGGGAGCCCAAATGACCAAATGGTGGGAGCATAAAGAAGAATTGGGAGTGTTGAGACATTTTAGAATGTTTGGGTAGTAGGAAAAATCTAATATTAAACTGAAGTCACTTCATAATGGGAAGAGCCCATCAGATACCAGGATCATTGTCGGTGAAGTTGGCAGGTGATTTTGGTTAGGGATAAAAGGCAGAGTTATTGGACAGCTTTTCACAAAGCCTGGATTGCTACCTCAGAAACTATGTGTAGCATCTCCAGAGGAAAGATTGATATGCACATGGGTACCTGGGTAAGGAGCAGAAGACAGAAGGAGCTGATGACAGATCGATCACGACAGATGACAGGGAAGTATGGTTACAAAGTAGAATTCTAAAGAGACTGTTACTAGTGAAAGGAAAGGTGTCCCTTTTGCTGAGGACATGGTCCTTTGTTACCCTTGAGTAATGAAAATTAAGATAGAGTTAAATTTATTCATAATGACTTGGGTGACAATGATCTACAGGCACAATTAGAACCACACAGCCACTGGAAATATCATATCATTGCTTTAAACCTCAACTGTATACCCTTGACCAAGATATATTATTACAATCACTTTTTTGTCCTGAGCTCACTTTGCAATCTTCTAACTGAATCTCACAATGTAGCTTTATGATTTACCAGTCAGGGTTCAATCAAAAAAATGGAAACCATACTAGTTATTTTAATGAAGACAATTGTATACAAGTATGGCTAAATAGTTATTAAAAGATGAAAAGCATAAAAGAAAAAATATGGTCACACAGAGTCATAGTTGCAGGATGTAGTGACAATGCCATAGGCTAAGAGGTAAAGGGGAAAAGTTGGGCATTAGTGTGTGTGACCTTTATTGATTGTTATTAGAAGAATCTAAAGGGAAACCAGATGGAAAATCAGAGCAGTAGTTTAAAAATTCCCAGCCCCCACACAGCATCACAAATTAAATTAGAGAATGGTAAATTTGGAGCAGAAACACA